GTGCCAGAGATCAGTCCAGCCAAGAGCTGCCTGTGCCTCTATCAAAACAAAAGGTACCTGAGGATGATGAGCAGGTGAATCCTTGCTGCCTGTGCTGAAGGCAATTAAGCTGCTCAGAGACTCATCTGTCCTTGGGGTCTTGCTTCAGTCTGGGCTTTGCAGCCTGGCCAGGGAAGCCAGTGAGTGACAGATGATTGATCTGAGCTCATTCCTATCAGCCCTCATTCCTATCAGTCATGCTGGAAGAGAGGCAAAGCCAGAGGAGCTTCACTGACACGGTCCTGGATCTGCCTCCAGGATCCTTGTGCCTGGAGGAATCTTGCACAAGGAGCTTGTCCCCAACCCACTCCACGGAGAGGCAACCTGAGGATCACGGCATCCCACACTCCCCAAAGCTCAACCAGGGCCTCATAAAATTTCTTAAGCCAGCTCGAAATAAGAGCTGTAAGAGAACCTCAGGACTGTTGCTGAATACCAAGAAGAGGGAGCGCTGAGCTGCCTGCTCAGCTCCAAGGACAAAGTGCTCCCCAGCTCCATCCCCGTGCAGTGCTCAGCCAAAGCACTGGCAGTAGTCTGTGAGTGGCTCCAAAGGGACCTGCAGGCAGGAGGGAGGAAAAGTGGAGCCTGGGCAAGCTCTGGGGCTGTCAGGGACTGAGAGTCTGGGGCTCTGGCACGCTGTGGGGCTGGATGAGGGGGATGGAGGGGACAGGAATGTTCCCTGCTTTCACTGCGCTTCGAGGCTTCAGCGCAGCTCTGCTGCTGCGCTGCTAACTCAGGGCTTCACGCTTTCTAATTTTTTCTTTTGTCTTGCATACACACACAAGGCAGATTTTGCTTCCACAAGGGATATTTATAGGACATATGTTGGAGCTTGAAGAAGCTGATTAGCAATGTTTAGCTTAAAAAAGGAAGAAACTGCATGAGAGCAGCCTGGCCAGACAAATACTACACAAGATGTGAGCTTTTGGGAGCAGCTCTGTGAGAGAGACTGAAACGTTAAAGGTTGCTGACTCCAACAACATGCTATCTGCAAAGCATCAGGGTGCTTTGCAGGTTTGCACCCCACCCAAGCGAAGGGGAGGACCAGAGTTTTAGGTGTTCGGTGGCAAAAACTCTGATTTGCATTAAGAACAGCCCAGATTCGGAGGGGGTGATCACCAGAGGGTGGATCAACAAACTGATCTTTGTTTAGCAATAAGCTGGATTTTGATCCAGACGGGGGGGGGAAAGAGGCAGATCCTGCAGGGTGGGATAATGCTTTATTTTTTCCCTGGAAAAGCGAGCTGTGGCTGGAAAGCTGGCTGACATCCCCAGGCACGCAGCCCTCCCAGCAGGGAGGCTCTGGGGGCTTGTGTGACTCTTTTGGGCTTGCAGAATGGGCCCATGAAATCCCATCCAGCTCTTCCTCATCTTCTCAGCCCTCCCCTCCCGTTCCCCTGCCTCGTGACTCCTTCTCAGGGTCCAGCGTGCCAGGTTGGAGCTGTGCCTTGCTAGACAATCCCGTCAAGACCATTAAAGGAGTTTGAGGCAGTGGGGGATGCTTTCTGAAGGGAATGCAAGTCTCAGAGTCCCCTAAGAGCTGCTGAGGGTATAAAATCCTCAGGGTGCTTTCCAGAATCCTATTCCCTGTCAGCACTGGTCTGAAAAACGAAAGGACGATGCTACAAGGAGGCAGAAATTGCATTATACTCCTCTCTGCTTCACAAGCTTTAAGTAACACTTCTGCTCTTCCCGTATGAAAGGAAAATGGGTAATGACAACCTACTTCTACTGAAGAGACAATTTTCACTCCTCCTTGGCAAGTGTAGCCGGGGCATCGTCTTTCTTTCCAGTCAGAGGCAAATGAACAGATTTCTGCCTCAGAACACGGCGGGTGAAGTGCAGCACAGCTGGTGACGTTCCCCACCGTGGTTGGCAGCACTCTTGGGGTGCCCACACCTGGTCCAGCCCTCGGTGGATGGGTGATAACACAGGTGCTGTTACAGAGAACCTGGGAAGCACAGACAGGGAAAACCCCTCTTTTCTCCCCAAAGGCGGGTCTGTGTGAGCATCTGTGCCCCCCGGTGTGGCAGCCAGCCCCAGCCAGCGCCTGCAGCTCTGCACCAGTCAGGAACTTTATTCTCTTGGAGCGATGACTGAGAAGAACAAGTTAGACAAATGAATTCGCTAATGACTTCCTTCCCTCCTCCTTAACTGGTGGGCTAATTCGCAGTTCCTGCTCCTGCAGCGGGCTGCTCCATCACCTGCCCATGGCAGGTGGCCTCAGCAGCTCTGCTGAGGAGATGAGCCAGACAAAAGGGGGCCAAGATTGCTGAGTGCTACCACCAGCCATTCAAACAGCTCTTAAAAACGCTGCACTGGATGTTTTAGGGAAGCACAGAGCCAGTGCCCCACACGTCACCTGGCTGGTCGTGGGCAGGGCTCTCTGGAGGGCAGTGAAGACACCCACACTCTAGCCAGGTATTTCCCTCCCCGTGAGGTTTCCACTCCAAGCATCCCAAACCAGCCCTGAACCCAAATAATGGCCTGTGCTTAAAAGCTTTGCCTGCACACAGCTTTGGTACTGTTGAACACCTCAGCTCTCTTTTGATCTCTTTTTTTTTTATCTGGAAGCTTCTGGAGGGTGACATTGCAATGTGGAGTTGAGGCCAGAAGCTTGAAAAGAGCCTCAGGGCCAGAGGAAAGCTGATGGTGAGGGTGTGGGACCTTTCCATGCTTGTGGTCACTTGCCTGACCAATGTGTATAGACCATAACAGGTGTTTATAGCCAAAAAACTAGTTCAACCTTTAGTGCCAGGCTCCAGATCCCCCAACACTGTCCTCCCTGCAGTTCCACGCCAGCTCCATGTGTTTGGCACAAACGGGGAAATCATATTTTTATTAAGTGGGGCTGAGTTAAGAGGATTTGTTTGAGATACAAGATAGCTCTCATTAACGTTTGCTCGTTTGGGTTTATTTAAGCCTTAATTGATTGTCTTCTACTTAACTGCGTTCCAGTATCTCTCAGGCTCCAGAGCAGCCTCTTAAGAGACCGACAATTGCACGCTCTTCCCTTCTTCTCTCTAAAGATCTTTCATGTTAGTGAGCCGGGTTTAATGGCTGATAAGTCCGGGAGCTTGCAGTAAAGCTGAGCTTTCTCTTTCAAGTGCCTGCACACGCAGGCTCCAGGAAGGCTGCCCCCAGGTGAGTGCTGGGCTCTGATACCGGCCTGTGCTGGAGCTGCCATAACCAGCAGCTGCAAACACGGTGTGCACAGTCATGGGATTGTATGGAATGAACACTCCAGGGCTCAGGGCTGCCTCCCTTCTGGCTGCAGACTGGACAGAGCCACGGCCACTCTGTCACTGGCCTCCCTCTGGAAGACGGGGAGAGGCCAGCACTGTCCCTGTGGCACCACCAAAGGTCTGCCAGGTGGCCCTGAGAGAACCGAACCCAAACCACCCCAACAGGCCAGGATCATGCTTAGGGAGAACAGCCTGGCCATTTTATGGGTTTTCCCTGGGCTGGGACAGGAGAGGTCTGTCCCCCCCAGCACCTGCCACCTCCAAGGGTAAGCTGGTCCTCAGGCCAACCCCTTGCCAAAAGAGGTTCCTTCCCATCAGGAATCCAGCTCCAAGGAAGGTGGGGATTTGGATGCTGAACTACAGCACTTCTAGTGGCAGCTGGAGCCGATCCAGCAGGAGCACACGTGAGGAGCAGGGACTGGCAAGGCAGCTGAGGGACAATGCTGACCTTCCATCCAGCTGCCCTTCTCACAGGAGGCTCCTTCTCTTTGGAGAATAAGTTTCTCTGGAGGCAGAAAAGAAACCCAGTGAGTCAGACAGGCAGAGAGACTCGTCTCTACACAAGCCTTGCTTTCTGCTGTGACTGATCAGAGCCAAGCGCTGCACGGTCATTGATGTGCCCCTTCCTCGCGGGTGGTTTGTCCCTGTGAGGGGACACCCCGGCAGCGCTGGCTCTGCACACCGCGGTCCTGCTCCTCTTTCATTGCCAGGAGCAGCTTCAAAGAATCTCTCCTCAAATTCATACAAAAACTTCTTTTATTGCAGCAGCTGAACAGAAACCACTCAAAGCAGCTTGGCTTTTGAGAGACACACTTTTCGTTCAGTACACCAGGAATAATGTTGCTCCTTACTGGCAGCACCCCCGGAAAGAGAGAAAACGCATCAGGCTCTGATGAAACACCTCCCAAAATAACCAGCGCCTCTCCCCGCACGCTCCCCTTTGTGCTCGGCTGTCTTTGGGCGAGCGCGGAGCACGAAAGGCGCTTTCAGCCGGAGGGAATTCGGTGGCTGCACATCCCTCGGTGCGGGGGCCGGAGGCGGCGGTGGCGGATCCGCGCTCCCGCTGGCCCGATATTGTCCCTGCGGGGCAGCTGTGCAGGATAAGGATGGAAACTCTCCCGAGGTTGGCTCGGGAGCAGGATGCCCGCTCGGCCGGCTGGTGGAGCCCGCTGCAGCAGCACCCGGGCCCGCTCCACGGGTCAGCGGGGCCGGGGCTCCCCGGAGCTGCCGAACTGCAGGGGATCCCTCGCCCTGCCCGCAAAGCAGGGACCGAACCCGCACCTCCCTCCGCCCGCCCGTGCGGGCACCGGGGCTCCGCGCGGTCACCCCGCGGTCCCGGGGCGCAGAGCTGCTGGGCCGGTGCCCACCGGGTGGAGCGGGGGCTTCGCTCCCCGGGGTCGCCGGCGAGCGGCTGCTCGTGGGGTCCGGGGGAAGGAGCGCTTCACCGGGCGAAGCGGTGGCCGGAGGCGGCGTCCCGGGGAGGGACGGGCCGTTCTCATCGGGATCCCGGCACTGCCCGGCAACCCTCCCGGAGACGGAGTCGGAGCCGGGTCCCGGTGCGGGTGCCGGTCCGGGTCCACCCCCGCTCGGCCGCGGCACGGAGGGGCCGCGCTCCGCCCCCGCCTCCGCCCCGCGCAACTTCCCCGCGCCGCGGCCCCCCGCCCCCGCCCCGCGGGTGCGCGCACAGACGCGCGCGCGCCCAGCCCCGCTGAGCCGAGCCGAGCCGAGCCGAGCCGAGCTGAGCCCCGCTGAACTGCACCGAGCCGAGCCCGGGGAACCGCACCGAGCCGAGCCGCACCGAGCCGCGCATGGGGAGCGCAGCCTCCGCGGGCGCGCAGCTGCCCCGCCGGCGCTGAGGGGCCGGGGCACCGGAGCAGCGACCCCCGTCCTCGCCGCCGCCGCCGGGCATGCCCGCCCCGCCGGCCGCCGCCTGCCCCGCCGCTGAGCGCCGCCGCGGGCGCGGGGCGGCGCGCCTGGATGGAGCGCTGAGGCGCTGAGCCCCGCCGAGCCGGGCCGGGCCGAGACGTGACGATGTGGATGCGACGGCTCCCGGGAAGCAGGTAGGGCCGGGGAGCGGCGGCCCCGCGGGGCAGCGCCGGGCGCATCCCGCCGCCGGGCGCGCTCGGGGAGCGGCGGAGTTAAATCGCGAAGTTGAAGCGGGGAGAGGGATGGGGAGCGGGATGGGGAGCGGATCGGGGAGCGGGATGGGGAGCGGTGCGCGGAGAGGAGCGGCGAGCGCGCGGTGCAGCCGGCGCGCCGGGGAGAGCGGCCGGTTCTCGCTCCGCGCGGTGCCGGGGCTCCCCCCGCCCGGCTCCCCCGCCCCGCCCGGGAGATGGATCCGCGCTCCCTGTCCCCTCGCCGGCTGCTCGCTCCCCTCTGGCCACCCCGGCGGGGGCCGCTCGGGGGAAGGGGCCGGGGGGGCGGCCGGGACGCGGGCGGGGAGATGGATGGATGGATGGATGGATGAATGGATGGACGGATGGATGGATGGACGGATGGATGGATGGATGTGTTTGGGAGATTAATCGAGAATTGCAAAACAGAGAAGACGGAGGCAAACTGTTACATAACACATTTTCATTACCGCTGCGAAGTCATCTGAGCCGAAATCTTATTATTTCCATGGTGCTGTGGCTGGAGAGCCCCGGCCCCTGCCTGTGCGCAGCCCCGGAGCCACAGCAATACCAGGGTTTGGTGGTTTAAGCCCATCTCAGTGGAATCGAGTGAAAGCAGCAGCGGGTAAAACAAGGGAGATCCTAAGGAGAAGTGAGATCCACGATCCGTTCCGCTCCCCCCAGCCCCGTTTTGTGTTTAGGACGTCCAGGATTTGAGCGGTTGTGTGAGGCAGGGGTCAAACCCCAAACCTCCCTCTGCCGAACAGGACAGTGGTTCAGGTATGTCACCTGCTGCTGCGAGAGGGGTCCCAAGGCAAGGGGTCCCGAGCTGCCACCCCCCTACTGCAGCTTGTGCCAGGCCCTGCAGCTGCTCCCCAAGGAGCAGGACTGGGTGCCCAGGAGGCTGCGGGGTGAGTGGATGGATGGATGGATGGATGGATGGATGGATGCAGCCCTGCCGCCAGCCCTACCCCACGCAGCACCTCAGGGAGCCCACCAGCCCGCGCCATCCCCCGCACCCCTGCGCTCCAGCAGATCACTGTGGCTGTGGCTTGGGGGCACGGAGGGAGGCAGGCAGGGCCCCCTGAACACCACGGGCGGCGAGCGGTGATGCGAGAGGCCTTTGTCCGTCAGCCCTGGCGGGTCACTGGAGGCTTTGTCTGTCTGCTCGGGCTGTGGATGGAGTCCTGGAGGGTGAAAGCTGAACTGAGGTTTTGGCTGTGCCCAGGAGCTGGGGGAGGCCCTCGGCCTCTCTGTTACCCTCGCGTGTGCCGTGCCGCGCATTCCAGCGGCACGTGGCGAGCCGGCTCCGGTTCCCCCGGCTTTGTCCCGTGCCCTTGGCTGGTGCACCCTGATGGCCTGGGCACGGGATCACCTTCACACTGCCACCAGAGGTGTCTGTTTGTCTGTCCGCCAAGGATGTGCTGCTGTGTGTGGGAAGGACAGAGTCCGTGGTGATGTAGTGACCTTAGGAATCCCTCCTGAGGAAAGCACCCTGAGGGTTTTCTTGGGGTGCCTCGTGTCTGGATTTATCCTTGGCAGGTGAAAAGCCCATTTCCCAGGGCTGGAGCGACAGAAGGCTGTAATCCTGGGAACAGAGGATGCCCTCTGCTTCGTTATTTTTGAGCAGAGTTTAGCAAATGGAAACAGGAGCCCTCTGCTTGCTTCTCTCCTTGATTCATTCGCCTTGTGAATTTCTGTGCTGTGCATCCTGGATCCCCAGTGCCAGGCTGTCCTCTCCGCCACCTCATCAGCTTCCAGTCCCTCCCTGTTTTATTTTTAATAAGAGATAACTTTACTGCTAACCTTGCCTGCTGCTCTCCCTTCTCTCTAACTCTAATTGCTTCTGGCTTTATTTCTGACATTTCCCATGTCATTTCTCCTCATTTTCTTGAAGACTACTAGAAAAATAGCTCCAGGAGAAGCAGTGGAGCTTTGCAGCGCCTGCTTCACCCTGCACAGCCTCTGCCTGGAGCAGCTGCCTGCGGCAGGGAGATGGTGCCCTGCTGCTCCTTTCAAGTCGGATCCCCTTTGCCCTGGGGCAGTAGCAGTGCCTGACCTCGGGTTGAGCTGTGGTCCTCTGCTGGGGAGGGCAAGACCTGTGCAGCTGCATCGCTCAGAATTATCGGGTTCATGTGAAGGGGAGCTGCTGCTCCCCATTTTGGAGCGGGGCTGGGTGAGCAGCATTGCCCTGAAAGCCCCGGCGAGGTCCTAGGGATGCTCCAGCCCCGCGCTGCCCTTGGCAGGTGCGGGTGCTGCGGGGCAAAGTCTGTTCTTTGTGGGGACGGCAGTGGCCCTGTCGCTCCCTGCATGTGCAGGCACATACGTGTGCGTGCACACGCCTGCGTCAGTGCCTGCGAGGGCACGGCAGCCTTCTGCAGCGTGCCGGCTGCCGAGGGCTTCCCCTCCATGGCTGCCAATACAATGTTTTAAACAATATGCCCCGATTTTTACAGCGCTGAGCTCCGGAGTGATTTGCAGTTGGAGTAAAACCACCGTTTGCAATTTCTCGGCGATTGTATAAAACAACTCATTACAAGGCATACGTCCCTGCGCATTGGCTCCGAGGAAACTTTATGGGCCTTGTAGTTACTGCCAAAGCAAACATTTTCCATGAATTTCACTCATCAGGTTCATGCTGTCAAATGTAGATTCAGCCGCTTGTCAAAGATGCAAGCCTTGCAGTCTGGGAAGTAATGAGAGCAGTAAGCAGTGGGAGTTAATGGCCTCCACTGAGGAGTCCTTACTCATCCCGCATCCACACAGGGGCTGAGCTGGCTGCTCCCAGGTGGATTGATTGCCACAGAAATTCATCTGGTGTCACCGGCTATGATACTTAACAGCCACAATAATGCTTGAATAAACTGTGCTTTTATGCAGCGGTTCGTACCTCCGCGCTGGCAGCGATTTCCCAGACGAGGCGAGGGGAGCGGCGCGGGGCTTGGGCAGCCACTTCCCAGAGCATGAATAATTGTTGTAATAACGCCAGAGCAACCGCGTTGCCTTTGTGGCCTCTCCGGTGGGGTGGCGGGTGGGAGCTGTCGTGGTGCTGATGCTTTCCTGGGATGCTCGGGGGCTGCCCCGTGTCACAGCCACCCTGCCAGCCCTTGGCATGCAGGACACGGGACGGGCGGGCTGTTGGTCCAGCTACTCCCGGCACTGGGGCACGGCGGCTTGGCTCTGCCTTATGTAATGGTCATCTGCTGGAAAGGAGGAGTTGCTAATGCTCCTTCAGAGTCCAGCCTGGAGCAAGAAATGGCAGCCAGGCAGAGACCAGCTCTCCAGCCTTGTTCCTATCTCCCCTCACCCAGCTTGATCTGTGAGCTCTCCCAGCGCAGTTTATTTACCTCAGTCTCTATAGGGTGTGCAGCTATACAGGGTGGTGGTGAGCACTGCCAGCGGCTCCCAAGGACAGCTTTGTAGGGTGTGAATAATCCATGGGACTTCCGACAGGTCTGAGGTTCATTATGGAAATGTATGCGTGCCTAAGCCTTTAAATATAGCTAATGGGAGAAGGGCTGGGAGGAAAGATTACGGGAATCAATGTGCTGAGCCAGAGGAGCAGGAGCTGCTCTGCTCTGGGTTGTGGTGCCTGTTGTTCTCCTTGACAGCTGGTGGTCACCAGGCAGGTGACAGCAGTTCAAGCCCAACAGAGTGTGGTTTTGACAGCAAAACTCTTCTAGCAGGATAATTCCCGTAGGCCGAGTGTGTTGGGTGGGATCAGTGGATGGAGCTGCCTCATTGGTGCTTTCACCCCCTCCTTTAAAACAAAGGGGTTTTCCTTCTGTCTTTCTGTCCATCTTTCCTGCCATCTTCCTTCCCTCCCACACTGTGCTGGGTGGTACTGCTGGGAGGGGGTTTCTGGCCAAGCCCAGTGTCCCAGCAGCCACTGCAGGTATTTCAGGGGATGCTCCCAAAGCTGCTGTTTGGCCCTTCCTTGCCTTGGCTCACTGTTTTCATCAGAGTGACTTTTTTCACTGAAATAATGTTAAGCTCCGGACCTGAACTACCTCCTTAAAAATGGAATTCAAGTTGATATGAATATTTCTTGTGGCTCTTCTTACCAGGACCTGTACCTACAGACTTTGATAGCTTATATAATTTCCTGTGATGGAGATGTGCTTCATCTAATTTCACTTGGAAATGCATTGATTAAATCAGAACTGCTGAGAGATTTAAACTGAGTCTCAGTGGCCTGAACTTAACCGTGGGAGGTTTACCTGCCTTCATCCTTCAACATTAATTTGGTTTTATGAGGATTCCTTGTGAAATGAGGTTTTGTCTGCTGCTGAATCTCTCCTGCTCTCTGGGTTTATCAGTTGCTTTCTGTGGCTCTGCGAGGTGACGCTGTGCTAAAGCCTCCTTTCAGCACGGCGCTGGGCGCCTTCGTGTGGGGACACAGCGAGAGCCGATGGGTGTTTTGGCTCCATCTGCCCCTGCTGTCTCACACGCCTGCCCAGGCTGCCCGTGGCGTGGTGGCAGGGCTGGGTGCTGTGCAGAGACATGTTCACCTGGGACCAGGGCTGCTGGACGGGATGCTCTGGGAGCAGGGTGGACACATGCCCCAGGGGCAGCTGGATGTGTCTTCCCAGCACTGCTGAGGGATTTGGCATTTCTGGTCCCAAGCAACAGTGAGAAAAGGAGGAGAAGCACAGCTTGGCTGGAGGTGGATGAGCAGCTCCATGGAGACGAGCGGGGACAGGGTCTGCGGGCACTGTGTGTCCGGGGCTGGAGGCCAAAGCACCCACTGGGACTTAAAAAAATAAATAAAGCCGGTCATTCACAAAGTGCTCATTTCCAACTCCGATCTGCAAAATGTCTCCTTGTGACTTGGAGATGATGCGTAGGCAGGAGATACGCTTTGACATGCGATGATTTTTGTTGAAGTTTGCTCTGAAGGTCTTTCTCGGCAGCTCCGCTTTCCTGGCAGTGTTAGAGCATCCCAG